GACTTCAGTTCCTGCCGAGTGCGTTTTTTTCAAGTGCAGGAATTTTATTGTTAATCGCCTCAGGTCCCGTCTTTCACCAGACCACGTTGATAATTTCACTGAACAAATAACGCATGGTCTGAGTAAGTAAAATGGGCATTGTTGCATCGATTTGGTTTTAGACGATATAGCCTACACGAAGTACGAAGTAAGTTTTTAAAAGCCGTTTAATGCTATTTCTTGATAAACCTTCCTATTGTTTTTGACTTGTGTTTTAATATGTTGGCTAACGTTATATGAAGATTAAGAATTCTGTCAGGCTATTGATTGATTTTCCATTGTTCTGCATTTCCCCAGCTGATTTGAATAAATAAGCTATGCTTTGGCCGACGTTGAGTGTATGCTCTTCTTTTTTTTCTTTTTAACGACCGCCTAAAATGAAATGATGATAACGCGAGGCAAGTGTGCGGCAAGCGGAATTCATTGAGGGATTTGACAGTGTGATTCATATTTTAAGTATTTCAAATATAGGCTATAATATATGATACACGCACGCACAGAGTTTTTTTTTTTACCATCTTTTGGGGGTTTCTTGCTTTTAGACTAGTCGACTAGTTGGATACAAAACTTTCGTTTAAACGACAGTCAAATTAGTCGTCGCGCACATCCCTAGTTGTGTCATGGAGGATCTTCTAGGAAAGTCCTTTTACTGTTTTTCTCCATAAATTTCATGGCAATTCATTATCCTTTCTTCCAAAAACCATACACTTGACTGTATTTTACATTAAAATTGCATGTTAAACCATTTACAATTTTTCACTGCATATGGTAAGATAACTTACAGTTTACCAAGTAACAGTTTTTCTTTTAAAAATGTACAGATATTTTACAGTAATGTTATGCTGTTACTAGACAGTTAAAAACATTAAGTAGGTTCCTGGTGTCCATCATAACACCTCTGACAGTTGTTTTTATCTATTCTCATTAACATTGACTGGCTTCCTTGATGTGTATCTCTCTCTACCTGCTGATCTTCTGCCAAACAGGTACTTATACAAGGTCGACATCAGCATCTTCCACTTTTCAACACGTCCTCTGTGTGAGCTGATACCATCCTCACCCCAAAGTCACATTCCCCGATGTTCAGTCTGTGAGGATGTCAGGTCCATTAATCACCTGCATGGTGGCCGCAGATCTATTTGAGTGCTGTCCTTTGTGCTGCCTGCCACACAACGCAATCAGCTCCTCTTCCCAGAATGCAAATTTAAATCGAGGAAAAATGTGGGACCGACAATCATAAGCGTCCATTTATTTCACTTTTTGATTCATTTTCATATGAAGCAGTCTAAGTGATCTATCATTCAGTGGGTTTGAAGGAAGAAGCCCAATGGGGAGGCGGCAATGTGTGACTGATCATGGCTTTTATTTACTGCCTTGTTAGCCTTTGTTGCTGTAGACTGACAGTTAACTCCCCCCTCTCCTCCCTTTCCTTTAATCCACCTTCAGTCATTTTAATGGGACAGTTTCTATCCAATAGGCTGTGGATTTATACTCCACTCCAGTCCTTGATCAAATTGTGGTCATGGCCTGTCTACTGGCAAATGACAGCAATCTCTTCAGACACTTATGACTTTGAGATGACCGCGTCCACCTCAACAATATTACTCCTGACACCTTCATTGTTTTTCTTATCATATGCTGTGAGGAACTGTTCAATAGTAAAAATGTCTCATCAACTATTAAGTGCTGACAAATTATTGTGTTTTATAAAGTGCACAGTTTATTTACAGACACAAAGGAAATTATTTGTGTTGTTTGCAAGACCCATACCCCCTCATACAGAGATCCTATAATGCCCAATAATGTAAAATGTGGGGTATGCTTTAATCTTATAGTCACAAAGTTATATTGCATTTGTAATAAAACATTAGAAAAAAAGAACATGAACAAATAATTTGAATAAAATTTATATTATTGTTTATAGTTTTATTTATTTTTTGTAATATTTAACAACAAATTATAGACTGATGCATCCCTAAAAAAACATTAATTTACCCAAATATGCATTTTCAAATGTAGGGATGCACAATATTGGATTTTTGTTGATATCTGTAATTGCATTCTCAAATTAAATTCTGTGATCCAAAACAGTGAATCTAATCACCATTCAGGCAAAAGTTGGCTTAAAGAATGACCACACTGCTGTCGTGATCTTATCACTAGCACACCCTGAGCACATGTGAGCTATTCGTCTTATCGACAAGGCATATCGGCATAATTTTAATATCGGCCCGATGCCAATGTTTACATTCTAAGCCTTTATCGGCTGATTCCAATGACTTTCCGATAATATCATGCATCCCTACTTAAAAGATTTTGCAGGGCTGCTGGCTTTTGTCTATGTGCAGTGTATGGCTCTCACTCATGATAGCATTATATTAAGGTTAATCTAGGTTTACGGTTCATGTCTGTGGAGCATCTGCCGTCATCATGACAATGGGCGATTACAGTAGTGCTTTCTAGCCTAGGGGTCATATGGTCTTATGGCCAAGGGTTGGGGCAAGGTGGAAATCCTGTCCCAGTAATCCAGTTGTGAAGAGGCTTTTTACATCCAGATGCTGACAGATGTTTTACAATGGGATTGGAATGAATTGCAGCCCTGGGATAAATCTAGATTTAATGTCAGGAATGAAGCCAGCATAAACTGATAGGTTGCCAACATAGAGAGCAACTCTAAATATCCTGGCTATTACTCCCATTCATTTCACTTTTTTGTGTTTTAAATTATCATTTAATATGATTTGTTTCTGCAATTTCGAAAGTTATTTTTCCTCTGCTGCCATATTCTATTTGCATTTTGCCTCAGACAGATACTAATTTAAAAAAAAATATTATTATTATTATATTTTTCTGGCTTTGACTCAATTTGTGACTCAGTTTAATTGTGTCTGTGCAGCTGGTCGGTGGACAGTTTGATCTGGAGATGAACTTTATCATCCAGGAGACGGAGAGCATCATCTGCATGGTGGAGCTGCTGGATAAATGTGACTCCACTTGCCAGGCGGAGGTGTGGAGTATGTTCACCGCCGTGCTGAAGAAGAGCTTGCGAAACCTGCAGGCCTGCACTGATATCGGCCTCATCCAGCTGGTGCTCCAGCGCATAGACCGGGTCGACACCATGATCGCAGGTGTGTTAAACAGGGGATGAGACATGCCCTCTGTATATAAGTGACACTCTAATAGTTAATCTAAGTTGCTGGATTACTATTTTTTGGATATAACAATATAATTAATAACAATGTGACCCTGGACCACAAAACCAGTCATAAGGTTTTGATTTATACATCATCTGAAAGCTGAATAGATAAGCTTTCCATTGATGTATGGTTTGTTATGATAGGACAACATGTGGTTGAGATACAACTATTTGAAAATCTGGAATCTGAGGGTGCAAAAAAATCTAAATATTGAGAAAATCATCTTTAAAGTTGTTCAGATGTCATGGAACATGATCTTTTCTTAATATACTAATGATTTTTGGCATAAAAGAAAAATCTATAATTTTGACCCATACAATGTATTTTTGGCTATTGCTACAAATATACCCCAGCGACTTAAGACTGCTTTTGTGCTCCAGGGTCACATATAATAACAATATAATTAATATAATAAAATAACAGTAATATTGTTAAATATTATTGCAATTTAAAATTTTAAAATGTAATTTATTCCTGTGATGGCAAATTTGAACATTACTCCAATCAGAAAATATTATTGATATATGATACCATGATACATTTTTTCAGAATTCTTTAAATATACAAAGTTCAAAAGAACAGCATTTATTTGAAATATAAATCTTTTGCAACATTATAAATGGCTTTACTGCTGAATAAAAGCATTAATTTCTTTCAAATAAAAAAAAAAGAAAAATCAAGGACTTCAATGTTACTGATGTTTAAATTAATGATGCTGCTAAACATCTCTGTGTTAATGCTCTCGTACTCACAGGGCAATGTTGCTTCATTTTACTGGCAGGAACATCAGCATATATATTTTGTTAAAATTCATTATATTCACTCGGCTGTACATAGTATTGTAAAAATGCTTTAGATTATACACGTAATTATGACTTGTGATGCTCTCAGCTCTCCGTCAGCATGTAGTTCTTCAGCCTTGCAGCACTGACATGTAGCAAAGCTCACACAGGGCTAATCAGCCACAAAGCTCAGTTTGGCATGTCAAGGCTTTCCAAATATAGGTTTTACATTTGTTTATAGCGACAACACTAACAATACTGTTTTAAAATGTAGAGGTTATGCAATTGTTTAACACTTGCCATTGTGCATGTACAGTTTTAGTGATTCATTATTCGTATTTGGACCATGATGGGGCTTTTACACAGAAGAACAATTTTGCGTATCCTCAGGCAAAACTTCTCTGATGCTGCATAAACATTAACATGAACAACATTCTTATCCAAGTATCTTAACTGACCAAATTAATGTTGGTTTTGACCGTAAATAGTCAAGCATACAAACTGAATTGTGACCCTGGAGCACAAAACCAGTCTTAAGTTGCAAGGGGATATTTGTAGCAGTAGCCAAAAAACATTGTATGGGTCAAAATTATCGATTTTTCTTTTATGCCAAAAATCATTAGGATATTAAGTAAAGATCATGTTCCATGAAGATATTTTGTACATTTCCTACCGTAAATATATCAAAACTTAATTTTTGATTAGTAATATGCATTGCTAAGAACTTAATTTGGACAACTTTAAAGGCGATTTTCTCAACCTTTTGATTTTTTTGCGCCCTCAGATTCCAGATTTTCAAATAGTTGTATCTCAGTCAAATATTGTCCTATCCTAACAAACTATACATCAATGGGAAGCTTATTCATTCAGCTTTCAGATGATACATAAATCTCAATTTTGAAAAATGGACCCTTATGACTGGTTTTGTGGTCCACGGTCACAATTCAGCCTTTTATAAATTCCTCTTCAGTTGTAATGCAGCATTAACCTCATGTTTGCGTGTGTATGTGTGGTGTTTTTCAGATCTGATGGTGGACATGCTGGGTGTGCTCGCCAGCTACAGTATCACAGTGAAGGAACTGAAGCTGTTCTTCAGTAAACTGAAAGGAGAACAAGGCCAATGGGTAATGGTCTTCTCCTCTTTATCTACTATTTGAGAAACATCTCGCTTCTCCACCTCACACTCAGCCATAATGCTGTGATCTCTAAGAAATTAATTATATATTTTATAAAGTACTAGGACTGTCATTTGTTTTAAATAAATAGAAGCTGACTTGTTAATTAATTTCTATGACATGCTCTGAATAATACACTTTGCAACAATTTACTGTAATTTGTAAAAATACACGAAATACAAAAAATGTATGTCCTTGTCCTCCGTTTAGTCTTCAGTGCATGAGGGAGATGTTGAGACAGTGGAAAGGCAGGAGGGTTTAACGCATTAGGCTGTGTTTCTGAACTGCGGGACTGTGGCAGTACCATTGATCAGAGCGTGAAATAAACCCGTCAGAGCAATAGAAGAGCACACATCCATGTGTGTCTATATCATAACCTACAGGCAGAAGCCATTATTATGTCTCTCTTGCCTGTACTCGTTGCTGATGGACCAAATGTATCTCAGGTTGGGAAATGTTTTAGGTTAGTTTACCTCAGTAAATTCAGAAATGAAATCCATGTCTAAATCCAGAAGATCTTTCTCAAATTTGGCACAACATGAGTAGGATTCAGACTAACCGAAATGATTTGTGACTGTATATTTTGTATAGTGTACAGTATCTTTTATGTGTGTGGGAAAAATACCGCAGTCAAACTCTAAGTATTTATTTGTGTGGGTGTGTGTGAGTTAATTTTTTGTTCTTAATGCTGTTGCTTTTTTCTTTTATCTATTAGCCTCCTCATGCTGTCAAGCTGCTTTCCGTGCTGAAGTGCATGGCTCAAAGAAATGGCCCAGATTCCTTTTTCAGCTTCCCAGGAAAGAGTGCTGCGGTGAGAACCTAAACATCAGTCTCACTTGACTTCAGTCATAACGTCTGCCTCTATACACCGTGAAAATATTTATAGTGATTTTTGAATTAGTGATTTGAAAATTGCATGCCAGAATTTCTCTTCTTTTGCACTTGTCCGCTACCTAGACGTTTTAACTTCCTTGCTATAATAAACTTTCAATGTGATAAAATCAGGGAAATTATACTTTGCTACCTTTTGTTTTTTCAATTAATTATTTTTTTCGTCTGTACAGTTTCTTTTCAAGGAATCACTTTATAGAAAGTGATTGAGAATCTCTGTCAGGACAACAGAATGACAGTTTAAATATCAGAAATGTATTTTTCATTTCGGTTTATTTTTATCTATCACAGTATTACCATCACACAAAATACCTAAAATCCACACTACCACACATTATACCAGTCCACATTTCCTGGAACATATGATGAATGTTTTAACATAATGTACTGTTCAAAAGTTTTTTAAAGAAGCCTCTTTTGCTCACCAAGGATGCATTTATTTGATCAAAAACACAGTAAAACAGCAATGTTGTGAATACTATCACAGATCGAAATAACTGTTTTCTATTTTCATATATTTAAAATTTTTATTTATTTCTGTGAGGGCAAAGCTGAATTTTTAGCAGCCAGGATTTTCTCCAGTCTTTCTTCAGTGTCACATTATTCTTCAGAAATCATTCTGATATGCTGATTTGATGCTCAAGGAACATTTCTTAGTATCATAACAGTTGAAAACAGTAGTGCTGCTTAATTATTTAAGCATAATAATAATGAATATATTATTTCATTCAAACCTTTAAATGACAGTGTTGATGAAATATAGTTTCAAGACATTGTTTTTTCATTTCAAGTACTAAAAACTAACCTAATTAAATAATCATCCTTATATTATATTATACAATTTTTCACTGCAAAAATATTTGGACTCATTTAGACTCAAAAGACACACACACACACACACACACACACACACTTTAGAGACTTTTTCAAACAGACTTTAAGACTTTAAAACGTCATTTTTTATGGAAAACATATGTTGAGTTAAACTAGTCTTGTTTTTAGATTAAAAGACAAGCAAGTTTCTAATTTTGAAAGAAACTTGAGAAAAACAGCTAATAAATATTTCAGGATAGACTTGTTTACATTAGTCTGTGCATTGGGAGAGGACGGCAGTCAAATGTATATGTATAATTTTCTGATGTGATACACATGTCTTTGAAATGCTCCAACTGCCTGTGTGTGTGAGTTTGCATGTTTTCAATAAAAACCAAACCATCATCCCGGCAGCATGGGGGGTCTTGATGTTTTATAGGGCATGTGTATGGAACCCTTCCTGTGTTGTCAGTGTTCACTTGAGACAGCGCCAAATGAATGCCGTCCTCTCAGGAAATACTTTGATTGGATGTTGTTTGGTGTTTAGATGTTATTCAAGCACAGATATGATGCTGGCTTCAGGAGGAAGTAATACTGCGCTTGCCTTCATTTTTCATCTGTAACCCACAAATACGACAGGAAGTCTTCAGTGTACAAACATACACAACCGTTTTAACCACATCCCTCCAAGGATACTCCATTTAGTTTTTGTTTTTCCATCCTGCTCATATGTTACTCTGCATGATACTCTGCTTATCTAAAACAAAACCACAAAATAAGGAAACCTAACTGGAAAAACTGTGTTTTTGTATCATCAGGCTATTGCACTTCCACCTATCGCAAAGTGGCCATACCAGAACGGCTTCACCTTCCACACCTGGCTGCGCCTGGACCCCATCAATAACATAAACGTTGACAAGGACAAGCCTTATCTATACTGGTGGGTCACACACAAACACTGATCACACAAACCTGTGATGTAAAATACAACACCTCTATGCTTTCTAGAGACCTGGACACCTGCAGTACATAGAGGAAGATTAGCTGACTGTTTCGTTTGTCTGTAAGGTGCCAGAAATTAAAGTATTTGTAGGTGGTTAGATGAACAATAAGAAAATTCTGTATATTTTCCCCGTTCTCTCTCTCTAGCGTTTACACTTCTCAAGGGCAGCATTTCACAGCCTTGTCCTATTTTCAGCTTCTAATTAATTTCTGTCAAAAATGTAATTTATGCAAATTGAGCTATTTTGACTCACCAAACATTAATTGACCCTATAGAAAGATCTGTAGGATTTACACTCTTCACTGTGCTGAGATGAACTCTCTACATTACAGGCCTTCTTTCAAATGTTTGTTTGAAATTAATGTATATCTATCAATCATCTAATCATTTCTTTTGGCTTTTCCATTTAGCTCTATTGTGTTTTTTTTCTGAAACTACTTGAAATGATGCTTTCATGTAACATTCACAAGAATATTTTAATTACATTTTAGTTCACACAAAAATGAAAATTGTCATCATTTAACGAACAATTAAAGATGAACAAAAGTCTGAGTTTTGAGCAAAAGTATTGAACTAACAATTAAAAAACACTTAAAAATAGAATGTATATACTGTATAGGCACACAATATGTTGGTTATGCACATTCAGCCTGTCTTTGGTTCTTCATACACCTCAGATACTGATGTAATATTAAACATTTTC